GTAATTGGAAATTATCGGAAACGTAGTACGGAATCCTGTTGGAAACGGAAGCCGTATCCGCTTATCGGTTCCGGAACCAGGATTTGGCGGGAAATACCCTGGAAACGGAGACCGGAAAACGTTTTGGAATACTGCTTCCGGAATTCAATGGAAAATCACCGGATCAGACTGTTTCCCACCGTACGTATTTGACCTGGGGAGATATGAACCCGAAACTTATCTTGTAATATTGATTGAAACAGCAGTTTACTATGAATTTATTAAATACAATATCCTCAACGTTATAATTACATTCAGTTATCTCTTTGATAAGTATATTGATTCTCTATCAGAATAGTAGTTTATTAAACAATATCGAAAAGAAAAGTATTTCTAACAAATTATTTTCAGATTAAAAGCATCAATAGGAAAATACTCATCTACGATTGTGTTATTAAAGGCTACGCGAAGATAACTTTATGAATTTCAGATTAATATGAATAATGAGTTAATTATTCTTCTGCAACTATGAATCTGCGACAAACGTTAAAAACACTACTTGAATAAAAAAATATCATCAGCATACTTGCTCATAAGATTAGGAGACTTACGTAAAGGTAGAGTATCTGACTATATATAGTTATTGCAATTTTTCAATGTTTGTAATCTAAGTTTGTTTTAATATTTATTGAACAGAACAAAATAAATAGTACATCTGCGTATACTAAACTAATTACTTGAATGTATTCATCTGTGATATTCTATATTGATATTAAATTTTTATTTCGGTTCATTTTAGATTATTGTTAAATGGAAGCTTGTTCAGCATGTTCAAGTCCTGATCGATCAACTAACGAAAATCTTCGTAATGGTAAAAATATTGGTGTTACTGATGCAGACATGAAAGAACTCGAAAACCTTTGCCATATGCTCAACGAACTGTAACTGACCACGATCTACACTTGAAAAAAGTCTGTCGACAACTTTTGCAGCATCCTTGCGGTGTTATTTCAACTTTATCTTTAATGAAAAAAATCGATAGAGATGCAGCAAATTTACTTGTAGAAGAATGTTTATCACTTTTTACTGATGATTTATTTGAAGTTCATAGTCAATTCAATCCTGAGGGCTGTCTCAAATACATACCAAATACCATAGATTTAGTATTTATTAGTCGTTTACTTCATTGTGAAGTAGATCCTTCATTATATTATCAAGACATTGATATTCCAGAAGTCTGAAAATCTTACATATCTAGCAATGGGCAGGATCATCTTAGATTCCATGGTATTCTATCGAAAAATTCTACATTCAACGCCACCATTGGAATTATTTACTGATGTATAATGTATGCAATACAAAAATGATGCTCAAAATAAGAATTTGTCTTTAACTTTGAATGCTGAATCACAGGAAAAACGTGAGAGCAAGCTAAAACTACTTTATTGATATATTTCTAGTTTTGCTTTGTTTAGGAATAACAAGTACATGTATTATTGATGAATTTTCAAGGGATACATTTGATAAAACACCATTAGAAAAACCATCTGATCTGCAAAATGATTCTGACTGTCTTCTTGTTAATTCAAAGCATCCTGATTCCCTCTACTGAAAGGAGGGTATTACGAAAAACGAGTTAAATACGTTCGTTCGTCTGTTCGTTCACTCGTCCAATAGGAAAGTAAATGCATAAACTTAACTAATCTCAAACAATATCTGTAGGAATAGGTTTGACCGAATGTAATCGTGGTCTGGGAATACAATGGCGTTGTTAGTTTTTTTAAATTTTGTAGCTCAAGCTAGTTTATAATGGAGTAGGAGCTGTTTAGATGGTCGCATTTTCGTGATAGAAATTCTTTGTAGGGAAAGTTTTTGAGGGTATCATTCGATGAGGTTGATCGTGTTAGATGTATCGTATGGTTATGTGAGATTTTATTACGAATAGGCTATAGGCATCTTGCGGTGGAATTGATTCTCAATTTGGCAACGACTAGTCGTGAGTGGTGCTCTGGAGGGGCGCCGACAGACGACTAGCCGCCCTCACTAGTTAAAAGTCAGTTATTATTATGAGACTGCAGGCCTTGCAGACTTATAGAATAGTTACATGTTGTCTCGATCAGAAATGTTGAAAAGGTTTTGGAAAATAGGAGATATCTTGAAGTTCTTCCAAAGACAGGTCATGAAATAAATGCTGAACTCGTGTGAAATATTTGAAACTGATATTTGTCGTGATAATCTTAATAAGTTTAGTTTTTCTGATTGCGGGTGGATTTGATTGAACATATGTAAATCTTAGATTTATATATCTGTGAGCGTACAACCGGATATGAATATATGCATTCTAGACCGAAAACGCACGGGAATAAAATGAACCCACATGAGGTTGAGCAAAAATGAGGACAAATCTAAGCGAAATCGAATTAGAAAAAGTCAGCTGGATTTAATCTCTGAGCTACTTGTGCAGATTATTCATGTTAAATATCTAGTTCATAGACCAATTTGAGTTGTAACTTTACTAAAATGGAGTATTTCGATCATAGCTCTTCTGAATGGATCTTTTTCTTCACTCTTTTAACAGGTTGATCGAAAGTTTTCGGAGCATAGCTTGAGCTGCAGCAGATCGTATGCACTTAACTTCACTATTCCCATATAGTATTAGTAAGTACTACTTAAATGTCGTTTTCTTGGTGATACTTCCAAGCAAGTTTTTTTTATTTATGCTAGGTTATCAATCGTGTTTGCCATAAAAATCATTTCGAAGCTATAAAATGTGAAGTCTCTCAGCTAGATAGTTTTGGTGACTAAATCCTTGTAGTAGAGGGTTGGAGACGCTAACGTCGTATTACCTTGTTCGTTCAATACAAAAATTAGTTTTACTAATTAAAATAGTGTAAGTTTTGAAATTGATCAAAAATTGTATTCATCTTTAAAGAAAAAAAATAGATAATCATACTTTTATTTTGAAATCTTTCCAATTTTGATGCTTTAAAAGAATAAATTCTAGATGAGTTTTTTTATGCATTAACAAGTGCTCGGTTTGTTTCATGCAGAGCCGCTATGGCTGAATGGTTAAGATGTCTGATACATATCCACAATATACTGTGTTCGAACCTCGACTCCATCAGTCATAGAATGGCCTTGGACAAGTCACTAACGACTGTTTTGTCTCGGACTACCCACCCGATAACAAATTGATCACGTAGTCGACATAGATTAAAATTGTCCTTGTGACTGGTATGTGGTGAGTCAGTATGTATGGGGAGCTTAAGAAATTAAGCGAGAAGAATTCTGAGTCAGGCCGACCTTCTGTCCAGAACTACATTTAGTAATAGATGTAGGAAAATATCGGGCTTCTCGAAACTGTCTTCGGACAGTACCCTATACCGCAAGATAGCCGAAAGGCGGGGTATTCTTCTTCTCCTTCTTGTTTCATCCATCAGTTCAACAACATCCAGGTCTTTAAAATGCGATGAAACTTCTCAAATCGATCAACCATCATCATTTGATATATTGGATTTTTATTAGATCCATTACATCGATTAACACTAAAAGATAGTCTTCACACGTGTTTACAATTAAATATTTCTGTTTCCCATATTATCGATCTATTTGTTAAACATAACTATGGAATAATGAACTTGAGCAAGCACAGCTATTCAAAAAGCTATTGTTTTTGTTTAAAGATAATGCCTGATCGATCTTTCAAATATGTCTATTCTATTTATGAAATGGTGTATTTTAAGGGTTATGAAGTAAATCTGTGAGTTTTTCGAAGAAATATTCAATTTCCAATGATAATTCTTCATGAACTCAAACAAAAAATTAATGTTCTTTGTTCACTGAAAGAACTCGTTAAATAAAAACATGAAAGTTAATATCACTTCAATTGAGTGACATTCATCAATTAAAGGCTAAAGCACAACATGAACCACACGGATAGACTGCTGACAAGGGTTTTGCAATTCAATCATTACAACAAAAAATGTAAGCTATTAGTTCATGATTGCAAGAAATTTACGACACGACAAGTAATACTGCAGATGAGATTCAAATATTAAATAACGAGCTTTCTTGGAAGAATGAGTGAGTAAGATTCTTTGCTTCTAGATAATAATTAAAAATTTGTTAACAAAACAAATAGGAGAATATTCTTAATTTAGATGGAAGTATTGGTAGCTAATCGTACAATTGTATTTCATATCGTTGGTATCGAGATGAAAATCAGAACAGGGCAATGCACATCTTTGTTGACAGAGTTCTTTCTCGAAATCTATGGTCAAAGTCAGAACTTGCTCATTCGCTGAGTATCATCATATTTATTTATTCCTGTTGTAGAACTTCTAGCATTGTTACTAGGTAGTAACAGTAATATATCTTACAAATGCAAAAACAATTGAATGACAGATTCGATTTGAAGAATGATACCTTGTTTTCATTTCAAAATATGCAGTGAAAGAATCAGTTTTCTACAAGTTTAAAATAAACGTTTCATTTGATTTTCAAGATTAGATCGAAACTACTTGATTGTGTTTAATCGCTGAACAGACACGAACGTGTTTGGAGAAGCCGAGCTGAACAATTTTTTTATAATGGATAGCAAATAAAAATAATAACTAGCGGATGTACAATCTGAAAGACAAATATCAATCTATTCACCTCCCACACCAACTGGCTACAAGATTCGAGCTCGACTTTATTTAAATGAGAGGGAGGGGGGAATGTTCGATGTACACATATGTCACTATTGTTGTTCTAATACGTGGTGTAAATGATGCGATCTTAAAGTTTTCCTTCAATTACAACGTCACATTTTGTTTGAATGATTAAAATTCTGAGCAAAGACGTAGCATACCTGAATTCTTTCCATTGTGGATGATAGAACAAAAAGTTAATTCATACATTCCAAATGATACAATGTCTGTTACAGTCATGACCGATTTTGGTGACATAACTACGAAAAACAGTATTACCATACGCATTGAGTCTTAATTCTGAATTACTGATGTATATTCAACGATTACTAATTCAACAAGAAGCACAACGAAGAGCACAACAATCAATCGAAATTGATATTGACGAAGATAATGCCAATGACCAGCAAAATTCCATATGAAAAATTCTTTTTTATTATCATCATCTATTGTAATCAAGTATTTTTATCAGTTGGTGCTAATTTAGACTTCCATATGTTTACATTCTTGATTTTACTTGATGTTACTTCCTATCTTAAGATGTTTATGTTTCGATTTTTCGATTTTTCGATTTAGTATTAATGTTTTTAGATACAATTACATATCAAGGGTGAGGATATATTTTTCAATTTCAGATATATGCAAAATATTTTTTAAAAACGAATTCTTGTTTATTGGCAATGAATAGTCGAAAGATCGAGTATAGACTTTTTTACAAAAATCATCCACTTGCAATCGTAGACCCAGGTGAATGAATCCGATACCGAATCCGATCGGATCTCATAGGATCCTACCATCCGACGAAATTCCATTGGATTCCTGGTTGAGGAATCAATGTCGGATCCGAAAGTAGGATTCCGATAAAATTCCAATGATATCCGGTTGTCGGAACCGATCGATGCTCTAACATTCAAGTTTTCATCAGTATCCGACAAGATTCGGC